TTGCCGTGGGGCCAGGCCTCCATCATAAAGCAAGGCCCGAAATGCACTCATCATGATCCACAGTCAGAGGCTAACAGAGTTCTCAGCTAGAACCAGCAACAACAACCTGCCTCCAGTGATGAGGGGAAAACAATAAAACTTAAATTGAGGAAGACTTGAACCCGATGACACGGATGCCTTCTTCTCTCTTGGGGAACTAAGAAAGTCATACAAACCCAGCTCTGGATCAGCACCAGGATCTGATGGGATCTCCCACCCCATCATTTCGCATTTAGGTCTGGCAGGAGAACTTGCATTCTTGCAGGTTATCAACAAATCCTGGCAAACCGCCACGGTGCCCCAGAGCTGGAAACAAGCCACAATAGTTCCCATCCCAAAACCAAAGGAGCCTGGCAAGTACCGTCCCATCTCTCTTCTCAGCTGCCTGGGTAAAACAGGTACACAACAGGCTCCGATGGAAGACGGGACCCCCTCATGAACACCTGCATGGGTTCACAAGGGGTAAGAGCACTGCACACAGCATTTCCACACTCTTAAGCACAATCTGCACCTCGCCCGAGGTGGTTCTCTTCCTAATCCTGGAGAAGGCTTTTGAATTGGCAAGCCCGCTTGCCATTCAAGAGACCCTAATCCACAAAGGAGTCAAAGGCACACTCTTGGCCTGGATAGCTATTTTAAAAGGTCAGCAAATGTCAGATTTCAAGGCCACCTCTCGCAGCACATGCCACTTGAATATGGAACTCCTCAGGGAGGGGTTCTCAGTCCAGCCCTGTTTAATACCCTTATGTCCAACATACTCGACATTCACCAGCCAGAGGGATGCAAGATCATCTCTTATGCTGATGACTTGGCAATCATAGCCTCTGGCAATCACTGCCTAACTAGAGCTCAGCGTCGTCTGAACCTGGTGTATGAAGAGTGTTGTAGGACGGGTCTAAAAATATTGGCAGCAAAATCCAAAGCAATGGCTCTGAGAACTAATGTCAGAAACAAAAAACTCACTGTGCAGGGTATGGATCTGGAATGGGTTAAGGACTAACTATACCTTGGTGTATGGACACACTCACTTTAAAAAAGGAGATCCAATACCTGCTTGATAGAACCAAGGAAAGACTGTCAGTTATGAAAGTCATGACAGGTAGACACATAGGAGCAGGACACAAAGTACTAAGATCATTCTATGTACATGCTGTCCGTCCTATTATTGACTATGCATTTGTCGCCCTCATTGCTTTCAGCACATTAAAATAAAAAAAAAACTGGAAACAATACAAAACAAAGCAGCCTCGATCATTCTAGGTGCGCCCAAATGGACAAAGGTCATCAACATCCTCATGGAAGCTGATTTGCCGTCCATGGACACCAGAATTGATCTAATGGCAGCACAGTTCCTTTCCAAGGTCCTGCAGGCACCCAGAAACTCTTATATAAGACAAAGAGTACTCAGACGCCTACAACAAGACTACCAGTTGTTTGCGGACAACTCATGGCTCACACATACAGCCAGAGTATTGATACGCTTTCAGCTAAAAGAACCATTGCTTGCCAAGGACATGGACTCCCCTCACCCTGACTACAAAGAACCCCCGCCGTGGGCAAACGAAATGATCGAATTCTCAATTCTGAATCTTACAATGAGAAAAGATCAATATTCCATGCCTAGCCTAAAGGCACAAACACAAAGGGTCATTGTTCAAATAACTCCTCCGGGTAGCATAACATACTACACGGACGGATCTGTGGATCCCATAAACCATACTGCAGGCGCCGGCGTTGCAACAAGGGATACCACAGCATCCATTAGAGTCACTTACAATGCTCCTCAACACTCCAAGCTGAAACGGTTGCGATCATGGAAGCCCTGACACACGCGTCCCTAAGGGCAGGACACGTCATTTACACAGATTCAAGAGCAACTATTGACAGATTACAGCATAGCATGCCCCTTGACAACATCTACCTCCTGATAACAGTACTAACCATAGCCCAAAGAATCCTCAGTCAAAGTAGAAGAATTATCATTAACTGGGTCCCAAGCCACATCGGCATTCGCGGGAACGAGCTTGCTGACAAACTAGCTGAAA